TGGCTTAGGATTCTTTTAATCTTTGTAAAATTGCCTAATTGATTTGTTTTTGATGAAAGTATATAGGCAATTTCAGAAACTCTTCTTTTTCAGAAAATCAGAATGTTTTTCACTTAGGAAATTGCTCAAGAATCAAAGCTTATGGGTATGTATATTTTTCCAATTTTTCTGAACAAATAACCTATATATACCCCTTGAAAAGACAAGTTTTTAAAGTTTGAAAACGTTTAAAAACGGCCAAAAACTGTCAGATATTCAAATTCTGAAAACTGAAAAACTGTCTCTTGTAGTCGACTACTGTAGTCATTAGTCGACTACACTGAGTTCAGACAGACTCTGTGTTTTCGGAAAATGTTCTCAGTAGTCGACTATAATGATAATTAGTCGACTACACTGAGTTCAGACAGAAACTTGAAAATTTATATTTTTCTTCAGTAGTCGACTACTGTAGTCATTAGTCGACTACACTGTAAAAAGACAGAAACTTATGTTTCTGTCAAACATCTCAGTAGTCGACTATAATCTCTATTAGTCGACTATACTGTAAAAAGACAGAAACTTGTATTTGAGTTATATACATGAGTAATCGACTACTATCCTAATTAGTCGACTATTAAGATCAAAAATTCAGAAATAATGAGTTTTTATAATTAAGTTTTAACTATTATTCTAATGGTTAACATAGGGGATTTCTATAGTTAACCAACACACTAAGCCTGTGTTAGTGTATTCTAAAAATGTGTGTGTGTGCGTGTGTGTGATCAAGGCTTGTACAAATATTCTAAGCAAAGAAAAATTCAAATACATTATCTTTTGTTCTTCATTTTCTTCACTTCAAAATGCCTTGATATTCACTTGCACTTGTACATATTCTGATATTGAAATCTGCATATGAAAGTTAGTGCACACAAAATATAAATTGTTATCATCAAAACATTATCATGGAGAAATGATATTCAACAATACTTACCGCCTGTGACAAATCTGGCCTCGTACATACCATCGCGTACATCAAGCTCCCAACCGCGCTCGCATATGGAGTCTTCGACATCAACTCACGATCTTCAACTGACTTCGGTGAGAGACCAGCTGAAAGCTTCAAATGGGCTCCCAATGGTACACTAACTGGCTTCGTATCCATGCTAACATGGAATCGCTGTAGAACTTTCTTCAAATAAGCCACCTGTGTCAAACAAATTCTGCCATTTTTCTTGTCTCTGCCGATCTCCATCCCTAAAATGCGCTTCGCCTCGCCCAATTCCTTCATCTCAAACTCATTTGAAAGCTGAACTTTCAACTCATCTATAGCCGACCTGGAAATAGAGGCAACCAACATGTCATCGACATAGAGCAACAAATAAATATACGCACCTCCTTTCAACTTGCGAAAATATACGCAAGGATCAAACTGGCTCCGAGTGTACGAATGACCAAGCATAAAACCATCGAATCGCCTATACCACTGTCGAGGAGACTGCTTCAAACCGTATAGCGATTTCTTCAGTTTGCAAACTAATTTTTCTTTCCCTGCAGCTCGGAATCCCAATGGCTGAGTCATATATATTTCTTCATCAAGATCACCATGAAGAAATGCCGTTTTCACATCCAACTGATCTAATTCCAAACCATACTGTGCCACCAAAGCTAGCAAAATCCGAATCGAAGAATGCTTCACCACCGGAGAGAAAACCTCATTATAGTCAATACCTTCCTCCTGTGCATAGCCCTTCGCAACCAACCTAGCCTTGAATCTCAACGGAGTGCCTTCAATGCCCTCCTTCTTCGTGTATACCCACTTGCAACCAATTGCTTTCCGCCCCTTTGGAAGCTCAACAAGCTCCCATGTATCGTTCTTATGAAGAGATTCCATCTCCTCCTGCATAGCCACCTGCCACGAATCAGCCTCCGAACTCTGCTCGGCCTCTCTGAATGTAGTAGGCACTAACTCATCGATACTCTCCACCGGAAGTGCATACGCAACTGTGTCGGCATACCGTGCTGGCATCTGTATGTTTCTCCTCTGTCTCCTAGCCGCAATAGAATCCTGAACCTGAGCCGTCGGTTCCTGATCCTGCACATTTGTACTCGTATCCTCCGTGTCATCGTCGTGCTCGCCTGGCGTCACCTCAGTCGGCACCTGCATGGATACTGTACCATCTGGACAATGTGGAGCTGCATCGATCTCCACCACCTGCGATATCTCCTCCGTCGGGTCGCTCTCCACCTGATGAGAGCTGGGAAGCTTCAAGATAGAAGCCTCATCAAATGTGACGTCCCTACTCAGAACAATCTTTTTATCAACTGGATCCCAAAGCTTGTATCCCTTGACACCACGCTTGAATCCTACAAATATGGCCTTCCTAGCTCGAGGTTCCAATTTATCAGTTCTAACATGATAATATGCAGGGCACCCGAATACCTTGAGCTGGTCATAGTCATGTGCTGGCTTTCCCGACCACATCTCCATAGGGGTTTTCCCCTCAATCGCAGATGAAGGCAGCCTATTAATGAGGTGGCTCGCATATGTAAGTGCCTCAGCCCAAAAGATCTTCTCCAAACCACTCTGCGACAATAAGCATCGGATCTTCTCCAGTAAAGACCGATTCAACCTCTCTGCCACCCCATTTTGCTGCGGTGTATGACTAACTGTGAAGTGTCTCTCTATGCCCTCGTCTCGACATAGCTGCTGAAAGGGGTCAGAAGTATACTCACCACCGTTGTCGGATCGCAACGTCTTGATCTTTCTCCCAGTCTGCAGTTCCAATCTCTTCTTCCACTCCACAAACAAATCTAGGACTTCACTCTTCTTCGTCATGGTGTACACCCAACAACGCCTAGAATAGTCATCTACAAAAGTGACGAACCAATGTCTACCACCAAGTGATGCAGTCTTGGTGGGACCCCAAACGTCTGTGTGCACGTAATCCAGGATGCCCCTCGTCTGATGAATGGCAGTCCCGAACTTCACCTTCGTCTTCTTGCCAAGAACACAGTGCTCACAGAACTCAATCTTCCCACTCTTGGCTCCCTTCAATAGCCCCTGCTTGCACAATGTCTGCAGTGACTTTTCACCTGTGTGCCCCAATCTATAGTGCCAAAGTCTGCTCATGTCCGCTTCTGAAATAGCCGAAGCAACCTGGCCAATCTCGGTGCTTCCCTTCAGATAATACAAATTCCGATTGCGGACTCCCCTCATCACCACCAATGATCCCTTAGTAACCTTCGCTACAGCGTTTTCGAAAGTCACCTTGAATCCCTTCGCCTCCAAAGCTCCAACTGAGATAAGATTTTTCTTCAGTTGAGGAACAAATCTCACCTCCTTCAACTCACGGACTACTCCATCGTGCATCCTAATCCGTACGGTACCTATCCCACAAACGCCACAGGATTGATCATTTCCCATGACAACAACGCCCCCGTCGACTTTCTCAAAAGATGCAAACCAGTCTCGCCTAGGGGTCACATGAAAGGTAGCGCCGGAATCAAGCATCCAATCTGATGCATCCACATGGTTCACCTCCGGAGTAATCAGTAGAGAAAAGCACGAATCATCGGAATCATCGCCTTTCGCAATGTTCACCTCATTGGCCTTCGGGCCCTTTTTCTTGCTATTCTCCTTCTCTTTGAGCTTCGGGCAGTCTCTCTTCCAATGTCCCTGCTCCTTGCAGAATGCACATTGGTTCTTTGTTAATTGGTGGCGGCCTCTAGACTTTGACCTCCCTCTGTTACCACCTTTCGGATATGGGCTTCTACCTCTCGTCGACAAGGCCTCTCCTGAAGTACTAGCGCGGGAAGTCTCCTTATCCTTCCTCCTCAAATCGTAGTTCGTCAAAGCGTTAGTCACTTCACTATAGCTGATAGAAGATCTCCCGTTCAACAAAGTGAGCACGAAGGTATCATACTCCTCATCCGGTAAGGAGCCCAACAAAATAATCGCCTTGTACTCATCCGATATCTTCTCATCAACATTCGCCAAGTCCGACAACAACTTAGTATAGTTGTTCACATGCGCCGCTAGTGAGGTACCTCTGGACATCTGAAATCTGCAGATCTGGACATCTGGAATCTGAATAACCTACGCAGCAAGTGCAATCGGTTCTCAACACTCTTCGTAAGGTACTTATTGTTGAGAATTTCCCACATCTTCATCGCAGACGTCACCCCAATCACATCATATTTCAGTTCCTGTTCCAAACAGGACCTGATCACCCCACAAGCGTTTCTATTCATTTTCTCCCATACCGCCTCTTCATATTTAGGTGGCCTCTCGTGAACCATGATGGTCTCTTCCAAATTCTGAGCATTGAGCGCATCCTGTACGTCGCTCATCCACAAACCAAAGTTGATTTTTCCGTCATACTTCACCACACTAATCTTAGTGTTCTGAAAACCAACTTGTATTGTACTCGCCATCGATTTGCTGCTTTCACCTTCTTCTCCCATTGCAAACTAACTCCAAATTGTAGAGAAAGAACAAATTTGATAGAAATTAGGAACCACCCAACTGAACCCTAGATCAGATTCCAAATAGATCTCCTATCCACACGAGGAAAGCGAAATCTCCAACGGCCACTCCTAATGCTATCTCCACCGAAGCCTAGAACTCCAAGAACCAAGCTTCCAACTGAATCTTCCTCCACCAAAAAAAAAAAACTTAGATCTGAAATCTGGGCTCTGATACCACTTGTTGCGCGCAGCGGAAATTTCGGCAGCACTTCGGCAGCACAACAAGAGTCAGGTCGCAATAAGAATTCTTGTTTCTCAAAGGGAACAAGAATCTGAAGCCTATATCCTATCAAAGTAGGATATTAGCTCTTCCTCTCGTCAACTCTAGGACTGCGCGTCGAGGGACCCTAAAAGCTATTACAAATCACACAAAAGCAGTACAACCAATTTTTACGTGGTTCGGCAAATTGCCTACGTCCACGGGGCAAGGAGGGGGGAGATCTACTAATAGAGGGAGAGAATACAACTAGGGTTTACAATTACTCTCAATTTAAACCCTCAAACAAGCTCTCAAATCCCTCACACAATTATATCTCTCAAAACAACAAACAAAAGCTCTTTTACTTTGCCTGTATCCGCACAAAAGCAATCAAGTCTCCAAAGCCTTGCACTCGGTTCTGTACCGCAGCCGCAAAAAGGAAGAAATCAAAACCTCCTGCTCCTTCGCACTCAATCGCACGCCCCCACTTTTTCTTCTCTCCACCAGCCGCAAAAGAGAGAAAAACCAAAACACCCTTGCTCAAAAACCTAGGCGATATTTTTCGTGTGCATTTATAAGTTGGAGTACGGGTGGGCCTTCATGGGCTTCCTTCACGCGGTTTGCATTCCGCGTTCACACCTGATGATGCTTCACGTGGGTAGGTCCCACACTTCACAGTCTCTAGTAAAACTAAATTTAAAAATAAAATTGAAATGATGATTTCACATGTTATCAGAATGGATACCCATCATTCATGAATATAGCAAGCAAAGATTTCAAAGAGCAACAGCATGTCTCGGTTCAGATGTAAGTCATAACCCAATGGATTCATGGATCAGCATCATGGAAGAATCATGAGCTGAAGTAAGACACAGCAGCAGTTGATATTTATGTCAATGCCAAACTTATGGGTGTAAGTGGTCAACCTACATGGTCTTGTGCTACAATACCTATTATATCCTTTTCCCTAGAAGAGCCTGTACAATCGAGGAATTTATGTGCAAATATTTTAACGTGCGCGAGCATCCAAGACAACAACACTTTTTACTAAGCGTCCAAGTAAACATAGATCAGTTGCTCTTGTTTTGATGCTATATGATTTTATCGGAGTTTTTGAATTCTTCATAAATGCAAACTCATAACTGGAAATAAGACACACAAGCAGTGAGGTGCCTAACCAAAGTGAAATCGAGGCACCAAAAAAGTAGTTAGAATTTAATATACACATGCATTGCCGTAAATCAAGACACTTAATTTATGACAATATTCTAAATTTAATGTTTGATGTGAAAACTATAAGCCCTAACAAATAGTTGATAATATAATTGTCAAGAATAATATGTAAAGCTACTTATTATTATTCTTTTCTCCAAGAAGTGACTTGATTTATCCATTAAGCCAATAAGTATGAAAGGTGCAATATACTTAACATCTTTATGTAGGCTTCCATCTATATAGTTTCATCTTTCTCCATTGCTGCTACAATTATAATGACTCCCCCTGCCAAAGAGATCTGCAACACAAGAATTTCCAATTTTTCACTTACGAGGACATGCAAACGGCCAAAGAAGTTGAACCATATAAATTACTGTAACATCGTATGTATCAGAATAAGGATAAGAAAAACTAGTCTAATCCTAAAATCTTAAGCATGATCTTCATCAAATATATTTTCCACTGCCCTTTCAGTTTGTCAGTAAAACTTCAGATATTTTCCTCCAAAATTTAATGAAGGGTTAAAATAGGTAGATGTTATTGGAGAGAAACATTTTCCTTTCATGTCCCAAATGTACCTTTCTGAGCCAATTCCATGAACGGACATGAAATATTCAGAAGGTACGTTAATTGTTTATTTAATTAATTCATTTGAAGTTTTGAATTAAGTTCAATTATTTATACTGAGTTTGTTATTTTACATAAATTTTCATGTGTGATAACAGGCAATTTCCCTGGTAGATAATGCTAGTGAGAACAGTTTTTTTTTTCTTATAGTTAAGCCTCAATATTCGGACAGCCTCCTTTCATTTCTAGAACTCCAGGCATCTGACGCGGATGTAATTAAGGTCAAGCTAATTGCGACATTTGATCTCTGAGTTGCTTCTAATTTACCATCTTATTTTAGCTTTCAGGTATTTCCAAATAACTTTAAAATACATAAAAGAGAAAGAGGAATGTTGCATAATAGTGGGGTAAGTATAAATCTGAAACAATGAAACAAAGGATGGATAGAAAGAGTACAACTCATATCGATACAGCTTGAAAGCAACATAAATGCATGCCTTGTTCCAAGAAGTATATTCTTCAGATGTAAACGAATTAAAGTGGGTCAAGCTAACTGGCTCTTCGTAATGAAATGAAATTTCTATAAATTGTGGAGATATTTTAGCTGAGACACATGTGAAACACAACAACTGCACACATTTTACGAATGAGAATCTAGCCATAACCATAACATACGGATAATAAAGATAGAGATGGTGCAAAAGAGAAATAAAGATACAGGGCGAAAACTTACTAAATTTTGATGCTTTAGTAGGAAGATTTGTGATTCCTATACTGTCTCATAAAAGACATCACCTTGCAGCAGCAGCAGCATCATCCTTTCTGCCATCTTCTAGAAAGCAAATTGCATTACATTTTATAGTGACCAAAATGTCTTACATGTTGCGCGTCGTGCGGAAGCGTGCTCGACAACCAAACGAGTCGGTGAGCAATGAGAGAAGAAAACCAAAACCAAACACGAGTGCAATTCACAAAATAACGACCAAAATTACACACAAACACAGGAATTTACGTGGTTCGGCAATTGCCTACGTCCACGGGGAGAGGATGGGGAGATTTTACTATATGGAGGAGAAATACAACGGGTTACAACTCACAAAATCACTCAAATATAACCCTAACCAAAACTCTCAACTCCCTCACAATATCTCCACTCAAATATAACCCTAACCAAAACTCTCAACTCCCTCACAATATCTCCCTCTCAAAGTGCTCAAAACACTGCTAATTCTCTCCTTTTGAAACCCTAAAAAACGTGGTTCTATTTATAACAAAACACAATCCCAAATAGATTAGGATTCTAAAAACGAGTCTGTCACACCCTGGTGTGGCACACACCACACCCATGACAAACAGGACAGATTCTGTCACACCAGGGTGTGGCAGACACCACACTCATAACAAACAGGGCAGATTCTACCACCGGTGTGGCAGACACCACACCAGGATGTGGTGGAGTCTGTTTTGCTTATTCTTCACGTTTTTCTCAATTCCTTCGCCGTTTTCACATTACAATATATCCACTTAGACGTTAGTCTACTACTTCCCTTTAGATGATCCAGTAGCAAACTCTTCCCTCAACTTTTATTTGAAACATTGTTTAATTTTAATAGAAACTAAAAAACTCGGGGAACATTTTGCTACCGAACACTTGGGGAAAGTGGAACAAAAGAAACATGGGAATGATTCAGCTGACTGGTAAAGACTACTAAGTTCATAGTCAGCAAGGTAACTATTTCACCTTTTTTTTTTTGAAGCAATTACTTTGGATTCCATAAAAGGTTCAAAATACATATATAACTAAAAAATAACCACATGATTACTTCATATGTGCTAGACTTAGTATAAAACTATAATCCTCAACCCTCACTATAACTTTGGAGTTTTGAAGTAATGGTTATAGGGACTTAATCAAAGATGGTATCACAGCAACTCAGATTCGAATCTTGCTGGCCACGAATTTAATGCAGATTTTAAAAAATTATTACCACTACATGAGTCCAGGTTGCGCTCAACCTACGGGGGCATGTTAGAATTAACATAAAACTATAATTCTCAACCCTCATCATAACTTCAGAATTCGGGTGTAATACTTATAAGGACTTAATTTAAGAATATATCTATATTAAAGGATTAGTCAGTCAAAGGTTTCATAACCTGAAAGTCAATTGGGCCTAGAAGTCCTGTGAAATAAGATAGTCTCTTAAATTTGAAGGTCTGTAGCGCTCTAAGTCCACCACCAAACCTAAAGTCATTACTGCAGAAAGGCATATCTTACAGGAGCATAATAATTGTACTAGGCAATTTATTATGAAAGCAAATGCTGTTAAGCACAAATCATTCTCAAAAAGAGAATTGAAGCGCAGAATTGAAGCGCAAATGTAACATTCTACTAAATACTAGTGAGAAATAGCAGCATAACTAACTCACGATTTCTCAAAAGTCAAATGGGTTCACCTTATTTTGTTAGAATTCTTCCATAAAAAAGTCCGTCTTATCTTTCCATCTCTTTGATGATTACAAGAGACTGACGAAATCTTTCTGAAAATCTTCATCTGTTACAATGTAGACTTAGACATGCTAAGTCAACGGACTCACGGGGAGGGAATTAGGAATGATTCAACTGCAAGTATCTTAACGTTTTAAATTATGTCAGAAGCAAATTTCTGGATGTGCTGTGAGTGCCTGTGTCTCTGTCTATGTGTGCTGTTGTGTGTCGTGCATGTGTGTTTAGAGAGGGTGTGCATGTGTGTATGCGCAAGCATACTGAAGAGTGGATTTCTCTGGCTAAACAAGAACATACCTTGTTTGCGGCAGGATTCCAAATCAACTGAAGCACATTAAGAAAGTACAATCAATCTCTCTTAAAAACTGATAAATGCTTTTGTAATGCAAGAAACTCAACATAACGCATTCAACAACTCATTGAAGAAAAAAAATTCATGATAAGAAGAGGGGTATGAGGTAGCAATAAAGTTTCTTAATTAAAGGTTTCACAAAAAAAAAATTCCAAGGACATGAGCAAATTCAAACTTTCCTTTCTAAGGCAAAGAATGCTCAATTTTATTCTCCCCAACCTCATTTTCATAGTGTGGTGCTCATGACCTTCTTCAAAATGACAATGTAGTGCCTAACTTGTTTTCTTCATATTTTGTTCAGATGGCAACATATTTAGAATTTGGATGTATACATTGTTGCCTCCATTCATAAACCGAAGTGAACGATCCAAAGACTTCTGATAAATTTATATCATAGTCCAAAAACTTGACACAAGTACTTAAGTAAACCTAAAACTAAGATTCAATAAAAACAACAAAAGAACTTATATATGGTGAAAAAATGAACCCTGCCTAAGCGAAATAGACGAATTAGTTCACCAACCCCTAGATTTACCATACAATTGAATTGCCATGAATACTTTCCAATTGACCTAAATTTTAATTTCTACAAATCACTATAACGGAAGGAATTTCACAAATTAAACAAATTTCAACAAATTTTGCAGAAAGATTCACTAATAATTAAGGTAAATCAAGCAATTTCATCCCCGATCTTCTACAGACTTCTCAAACTAAACGAAATTCGGCAATTAAATAAAAATATTGCATTTTTTGCAGCAAGGCTGGACCAAAATTGAAGCAGATCAACACAAGCTACAGTCAAGATCTCAAAAAACCTACCAAATTGTATAATTTAATTGCGATCGATCGATCAACGAGAGAGAGAGAGAGAGAGAGAGTACCTTCTAGGGTTTCGAAAATCCTTTCCTCAGCGTCGAAGCGAGGGAGCACGAAGGCGGGAAAAGCAATAATAATCGCAGTAAAAGGAAAGTTCAGTTTTGTGAAACTGTCAAAAGTCTTGAGGTTTTTCTCTGCTTTTTTTTTTTCGTTTTATTATTAAAAGGTTTAAGGTCGTTTTGCCAAAATTGAGGGTTCCCTAAATTTTACCCGGATTCTAAAATAGGTCCCTAAAAAAGTACTAAACTAAATCTTTCAAATTGTTTTAAGTTGCACAAAATAAGTCCACTTTTGTTTTTTCCATTAAAATCTAGTGCGAATCGGATTAATCACAAGATTAATTTCAAAATAAACATGATTTGGAGTGTGGGTTCAGAGCACCTTTTTTCGCATTAGTGAGTTTTTTTTTCATGAATCTAATATTCACATTCTCAATTATATTATTTATTAGGGTTGAGGATAATACTTGTTGGAATCTCTGAGTGGACTAAGAAAAATGGATGAAATGAAAAATGAAAGGATTATCGTTTTACAATTTAGTGTATGCTTTTCAAATATGTCACGCATAAAATCGTATTATATTGAAAGCAAGGGCGAAATTGAAAACCCGGGCAAGTTTTCTTTTGTCTTTTTATCCTTTGTTGCGATTAGAGTTCAGGCAGGACCGGCCCAATCGAGTGGATTCAACAGATACATTGAACGTAGACGGATCTTGGATTCATCCGATTGCTCATTGCTTGCTCTCTTGTCAGATATTCATCTGAGACTCTGAAATATTAATATTATCTCAATGCTCAAAGCCAATGGGTTCCTAAATGTGTAATGGATAAAGCAACTCATCTTTTTTTCTTTTTTTTTTCTTTATGCTTTGGGCCCCACACTGTATATTGTCAGTTGCACATGCTCAATGGGTGAAGGGGGGTGCAAATGGTTGTGGATATCAACACACGTGTCCATATCCACCATGTTGATATCCGAATACATGTTTTTATCATAAAATTATTTTAACCATTGTATTAATGAATTTAAGATACAATTTTGACGATCAAGAGATTAATCATGTTTTTAAGATGTAAAGAACATTTTAGTGAACTCCGTCTGAGATGTTCATTACACTTAAACATCTCTCGTATCGCATACATCCGTATATTTCTCAATCTGAACTATTCTTTTGCATCCGTTTTCTGTCGGTATGTTTTCTCATCTGAATCGTATCCATATTCAATTTTCGGCGGATATGTCCGGATTCGTTCGTATTCGTACGTGTATCCATGATTGGTAACTCAAGAAGGCCAACTTTTATGCTTGCCATCGTATTTCTAAACCCTGGGGAAACCAAAGAGCGTGTTCTCATTCTGGGCTTCCGCTCTTTCCTCTTTTGCAATTTTGCGCCCCCACACAATGGATTTGGATCCTCTCCACTACAAAAAAATAGTAGAAGGATCACTACGTAATCACAACCATTGATTATCTAGTTGATGGTTGTGATTTTTTTTTAGTGCAAATTAGGAATGAGTACAATACACGTGGTATGATAAGTGTTAGATTTAGATTATATCATAACCGCCTACTAAATAATCAACAATTGAGATTAAAAATAGTGGTCTCTCCACTACTTTTTTTTGTAGTGAAGAGGATCCAAATCCCCACACAATCACCCTTTTGAAATCCGAAGCAGCGGGCGCCCAAGGGGACTCGGCTCACCTACCTCTCACCGCTTTTGTCCAAAATCTCATCATCTCGCTTTGAATAAAATAGGATACAAACGCCTCTTAGCAAGTAGCAAACCCTTTACTCTGGCGTCTTGTAGCGGAGTCATGACGTGACTCAGGGCCACGTCGTAGGGATTGGGTTGATATTCTATAATATTGTTTTTATTATTTTGCTTCAAACGGAAGCCTTGACTGGTTGAGATTATTTTGCTAAGATGTAGTAAAAGTGAAGGCGCTTTATTGTTCTCAGCGAACAGGGATACTAAAGATGTGCGCTTTTCTCTCTTCAAGAGTTCCATTCTCGCCGCAACTTCGAAATATTGATATAACGACCAAGTCTCCGTTAAAGATTACCAGAACAATCTAGATTCACAACTTCAAAGTTTTGACAAAATGGTTAGATCCACTAGAGATTAGTATCAAAACAATCCATATTTAAATCTCGTTGGTCGCAAATTTAAAGATGACTTCAAGAAGCCAAAAGACGATTTTCTAAAAATTTACATCGCCACGTGAGTCCAGATGTCGACCCATAAAAAGAGCGTTCATCCTACAAAAGAATATAGGAACATTACAAATATAACCCCCAACGTTCACTATGACTTTAGAGCTTCGGTGGAATGGTTAGAGACTTTATAACTATTTATCGAGACGCAGAAAGAAATATATACAGTAACATACTAGCATCATACATACCTCAGCTTTTCATTCATAATAAGTAACATATGTTCTTCATAATATTTTATATTAAGAAAAAAATTAAAAATTAAAAAAAGGCAAGCCATCACACTCACCTTCATTAAACGTAATCACGATACCAACTTGCATCTAGAAATATATACAGAAGCAGCGAGATCACTTCCTCAGCTCTCGGTCTTATTCTCGAACTCCCACTCTTTGCATTCCTTACACCTACACCGTCACTCCAAGAGCACAACAAACAACAAACAGCAAACATAACGAACACAGACCATCCTCAATACTTCTCCTTCTATCTCCGTTCCCCTCTCTCTTACTCTTCTCTACCCTACTCAAAACTGGCAAGAAGTACCCAGCCTCTGCCGCTGCTTCTGGCCATTGAGCCCACACTTGCGCTCACGAAAAGCCCCAAGCAGCAGCACCTGGAACTTCTCGAGGAATAAGCCCCATTCTTCTTCATTCATATCCGCCAGCTTCACAAAACTTGCACTCACAGGTAGCTGCTCATTTGCACTCCTCCTGTTTCCACTCTGGTTGCCACCACTATTGTTATTGCTCTTGCCTACATTGCACTGGGATTTCTCATTGAGACTGATACCCTTCAGCGACATGGATCGCTTTGGAACAGTAGGAAACAGAGGTGGTTTTTCTGTACTGTTTTCTTCACTGTCACCGTCTTCTTCTTCCTCCTCCTCCTCCAAGCTTGCTAACCTTGAAAATGGGTTTCTAGAACTCCATGGAGGTGTTCTAGGCATCACAGGCTCAGTCTCCTCACAATCAATGACGAATTGGGTGTCATCTTCGCCACCAAGTTCAGTCCGAGGAGAGAAAACTTCTCTTTCTGCTACCAACCTCCTCGCTTCGAGGCAAACAACCTCCAGCTCGCTCGGCTCTTCTTCTCTTCCTGTAAACTCTCTGCTCATCATTTCCCCAATCTCAGCCAAGCAAAGCCCAAAAGCTGCTGCTTCCTTGAGAAAAATTGTGCAAAGGACCAGAACACGAAGACAAGCCTCACGGATCATTGGCAGTTCCATCCGAAGCATTTCAGAATCTTTGACTGGATTGAGATTAGCAATGTACTCAAGCTCATCCTCAGAGAATGGAATTGATGCTTGTGGCCAGTGAATCCACTCGAAATAAGGATCCTCTAAGCTCTCGGGGAGGCACAGACCATGATCAATTGGGATGAGTTCAATCTGACTACCAAATCTACCGACCCCAGCTTCAAGTTTCCTTACCAGTAAGTTTCCGGCATGCCTATCTGTGTTGAAGATTCTAACATCAAGCATCCCAATTCTGTGCACAGCAGCCACAGGAAAGCTGGAGGTACCATGGTCACTAGCATCAAAATCATGAGGGATGAACTGCTGGAATGAAGCAATCTTGCTAATAGGCTGTGGCTTCCTTTGATGAGCCTTGCTATTGCTACAATTCACCCCGTCATTGACATTGAAAACAGAATGTGTTATCTTCACAAGAACAGTAGGAGGCACATTGGCAAAGTTATCATAATCCAAAAGATATGCCGCTACTTCTCTAAAACCGGTCTCTCCGACTCTCACAGACCTTTTCAAGCCCGGTTGGCCAAGAGCTTTCCCGATAAAACCCTTTGGATTATTTGGGGCAAATGGCTCCTCATCTGTCGGCTTGACAATAGCGACACTCTCGCCCCTCTTGTTCCTGAAGTAGTATGCACCCCCAAGACCACTGTGAACTGGTATAGGGTCTACACCCTTTTTGATAGCCTTAACAGCATCCTTAACTAGTTGCTTAGTTTGAGCACAGCGGCTAAAGCAACCCAAGAATTCAATCACGCCACTGCTGTCTCGTTGCTGCAGATCTTTTGCAGTGGGAGAGAGACAAGGAGTTGAGGAACTCCTGTGAAGTAAATTCCTAGTAAGAAGTAAAGGTGAATCATTTCTTACAGCTCTGAGATCATCCTTAAGCACGAGATCACCAAAGGTGAGCGAGCTCTCCTCAGTAGGAACATTGAGGGCTAGCTGGAGCTTCCTTTTTACAGTATGCGCATTGTCACTGCGATCCAATTCAAGACCCAAGACACAGCCGGTATCAGTTTGGACAAAAACTCGCCTCCTACCAGTAGGCTTTACTTCAGATTTCTTCAAACCATGGTACTCACCACTGAGAGCTCGGTTTAAGACTGCAACTGTCATTTGAGTCTGAACAGGGCTGTCTAGGTTAGGAGACATGGAACAAAGGAGTGACCCTTTTCTTCTTCTTCTCTCTAGAGCGCACGCCAAACACAGAGGATGACGCGGTCAAGGAGAAAGGAAGATGCAGTGAGCAAATGACCATGTAGCAAAAGGCTGGGAATTGGACCGCACCCTCAACACGCAAGATTGAGGGCAAACGGAGATGAAGTTGAAGAAGAATGGAATGCTCCCCCTTACATTGGGGAAGCCATCTGATCCTATTCGAATTGGAAAGCGCCTAAAATCTGTGTACAAAAGTATTTTGTTATTGTTAGTGGAAGTTATCAAGAAGCCAGGTTTCAATTTGAGAAATTGTAAAACGACAAGGTTGAAAATCAATGATAAAAGAAAAGCAGTCGAATTAGTTAGACGCTCCACAAAAGGAAAGCAATTGATTTCAAGATTTACACACAACAATGAAAAAAAATAAAATCAAGAATCCAATGAATCTGCCACATAAAGGTTGAAACGTGAAAGGTATACAAAACATCCCTACAAGATTCTAAAGAGAAACGAAGAAAAACAGATTCTCCATCCTTAGGGGGTGTTTGGTTCAATTTCTAGAAATTATAGGAAATGTTTTCCACTTAAAACATGATTTCCTTGTATTTCTTAAAAAAATTATAAGAAAAGTTTTAAAAAATCAAAAAGTACCAATTTTCTTGTTTTTTTTACTTTACTTGTTTGGTTCAAAACAAGAAAATGTTTATAACTTTATAGAAAATAACAAGATTTGGTAGGTTTTTAATTAAATATGGTATGTGTCAGATTTCTGGTGATTTCCTCTCATTTTGAGAGGAAATTGACTTTTGTAAAATTTGGTAGGTTTTGATATTTTATAGAAAATATTTCTGTAAATTTTTTGTTGAACCAAACACAATTTACAGAAATCACTGGAAAACTTTTATCAAAAAAATAAAAATCTTTCTGTGACATATCAAAAAAATAAAAATCTCAGCAGTAGTTTAAAAATGATGCTACATAGGATTCATAATCAATTGGTACATAATATAGTTTGAACATTACAGACTCCATGCTTAATAGAAGAAGTTACCTTGACAATTTCTAAACAACGCAAATTATAGAAATCATGTTGTCAGTTTCATAATTACAAATTACAAATTTATCATTGTCAGATGTTTTGAGAAAAGTTTTCTCAAAAAGTTTGCAACCAAACAGCCCCTTAAGTTCAAGAAAAAAATAAACGGTCTAAAAGTACCACAACTAGAAACAAAAATGCAAATTAATTGAAGATTATCTTTCTGTGACATATCAAAAAAATAAAAATCTCAGCAGTAGTTTAAAAATGATGCTACATAGGATTCATAATCAATTGGTACATAATATAGTTTGAACATTACAGACTCCATGCTTAATAGAAGAAGTTACCTTGACAATTTCTAAACAACGCAAATTATAGAAATCATGTTGTCAGTTTCATATAAATTTACATGTTCTACAAAACAAATGTCCAAAGCTAGAAAAAAAATGAACTAACCTCATATTCAACTAATATAGAATGAAGCCGAAAATAATAATTGAACGGAGAATAATAATAAGAGATTGTTTATAAGGATTCAAAAGACAACAAAAAAGAATATTTTTATCTTATTCCAAATAAATATCCGAAAATTCATAGAAAAGTGAAGCAAAAGCCAAGCAAGAGAAGACTAAGAATTGTTAGGGGAAAAAAAGGAAAATGGAAAAAAAAATAGATCCACGAATTTTAAAATCGTTGTGGTTTCAGCAAATATTTATGTAAAATAACAAGATCAAGGTCGAATACATGTATTATTCCAGACAACTTTCGAAAAGTCGAAAGGAGTATATAAATATGCATCAAAATATATGTATTAAAAAATTCAATAAAAATAAGTTCTATCCAAACTAGCAAACTTTCTCTTACATTTTAAGATAAATTCCATTTCAAAGTCACAAAAAAAACTAATAACTTTGCAAGAAAAAATAAACAAAATAACATTTTTTTGAAAACACAAGTATTTAGATCGATTATTAAACAGAAAGATCGTAATATATCAAACTATTAATCAATCTTTCCTCTTCAATATAAAAACCGTAACACTCCACGGCAATTAAACCCTAATAAGCCAGACAGGAATCAGACATGCATTCAAAAAACCCCAAATTCGAACGACAGCACCAAAAGCTTAATTCCTTCAGCAGATCAAATCGACCCACCTCTAAAAAAATTGAACAAAACCCTCATATCCCATCAAAATCAAAATAAAGAAAGAGAGGAACGTACCGGATGCTAGGATCCCGCGACGGTGATCGGAGACCGTCGATAACGAGAGGGATCTATGGCTCAGATCCGACGCGACGCGCTCGATATCGAACCCCGACCTCTGGTTCGCGCTAAATCCTTCGCTCTTCTCGTTGTTGCTTCCTCTCACTCCCGCTGAACTCTTTGAAGACAAGAGAGGGTTGGGAAACTAACTGGGGTTAAACTTAAACCAAGTGCCGGTTACGTTTTATTTATTCAATTGTTTATTTCGCCACTTTGCATAAACATGCAACTTCTTCTTTGATATTAGACGTTACTATTCTCTGACAGAATTGCCCTTCCGATAAATTCTTTCATGCTTGGCTCCTAAACATTTTCGGTCGTCGTCTTTTATTATCTTTTCATGAACTGTTTTCAGTACTTATTATCACTTCCCCTCCCATCTTCTCCCTCTAAAATATTAAATTCGTCTTCGGTTATCTATCCACTAAACTATTTCTTTTAGTACTTATCATCACTTTTCTTTTATTACTTTGTGGGGTTTTTTAATAAATTTATGAAAGAAAAGTTGATAGTTCAGACACACGATGGGATTGAAAATAGTTCAGAGGATAAAGAAGCAAAAATTTTGGAAATTTATAGGCAATGTGAGATTGAAAATGGTTGAGAGGCTACATTGCACTTGGTTGAATTCCATAACTTTACAAAGTTTTGTAATGTAAAATATCATTTGATAGCACATCCACATATCGGAAAATTTGACTTAAAACCGGCCTTCCATGAAAAAGACCACACTTGTAATTAACTCCTCAGTTCTTTCCTTCAGAAGAGTCCAGAAGAGAATATGACAACCGTTGGATGAGCGAGAAAGGCTGTCTCTGCGGTCGGATCTAAGCCACGTCTTCCGGACTCTAGGGCGTGACCCTTGGTGACGTGGCAGGTCAACATAGGCTTGGAAGCGGTGAGCTTACCTCCAACCAGCACGCAAAAGGGTGCGGCCGGCGCGAGCGGAGCAGCGATTGGGCGCAGGATTTTTCGTGCCGATCTGATATGTACGTGGGAAGACAAGGTTGCCCTTGCTTTTGCTTGAAAATAACGAAACTACTATCGTATATATTGAACTTTCTGTCTTTCTATTAGTGATCTTAAAGTATTCTTTAAAGAAGAGTTTATTTTAATAGAAACTACCTTTTAAAATAGTGTCATTGACTCATTGACTCATTCTACAGATGCCGTTTTTTATTTTTAATTTATACTAAAATACTTAAAAGGTAATTTTGTTGCATTCAGTATTTTTCAGTTACTTTTCTTTGACATACTTGATTCTGCCTAGCCTTCATTGAATCATTAACGATCATCTCTCTATTATAGTTAGTATTTGCCTACTAATTGTTACATCACACTAGAAAAAAAGTTGACTTAAAATTGAATCAAAGTAGTTGATTGCAAGAAAAAACTGTTTAAATATAGTATATGTATAAATTGACAATGAAACTAGATTTTTGTAGAATGACTCTATTTTAAATATGATTTCTAGGAAGAAAAAACCCCTAACCAATTGTGGACATCCAACTTTGATTTAACATAGCTTTTCAGCGTATACATTAGTTTTATATGTAATAAATTAAAGTTATAAATTTGGATGGATACCTAACAATGTAACATGCTAAGTGAAAAATGATGATCATCATCAATCTGTCATTAATCAATATTATAAAATGTTACCTGATGAATATGCTAATTGTACGCGCTATATATTAATTACCCGTTTTGTAATGTGTAAGAAGTGTGAGCAAACTAAATATGAATATTTAATAAATATAATTTATCAAATTTTCTTTTAGTACAATATATATTCTTCTATACTTAAAGGATAACCCAAGAATCAACGTTCATGCTACAGCAAAACAAATCTGTCATATACACTTGAAGTACTGTAATCATTTTTAAGTATAAAGGAGTAAATATGAATTCTACATCAAATATATTAAAACCCGCATTCTTCTTTAAGTATAGAGGACCAGATATAAATTTTAATTTTAAGCATACAATAATCAAATCAAATGCATTAAAACTTAGAGGGAAATAATTTCAAAATGCAGTGCTTAAGAAAACAATGGGGCGTACTGTACTTCGCAAGATGTGCACGCTAGTACGTACATGTGTGTGAATACAGAACGGGGTACTGATGTAAATTTTGTTAACTTCAGGGTCAAAGTATGAGTATCATTCAACCTTGGAGAAAAAAGACATATAATTCTAACATTTTAGTACAATTTAAGAACAGTAACGGTACTACATCTGCGCTCTCTTTATTGTATGCTCGTACCCATCGGAGCGATTCCCAGCAAACGGAATCCTGAAGAAAGGGATGTTACTCGCCTTTGCACATTTTGTAAGGCTATTCCTGTAATGCCCCTAACCCTAAGTATCATCTACATCCCATGTGTGGACCCCATATATTTGTTAATTGTCATGTTAATGATTAGATTAAGTTTAGTTCTGTGATGGAGTAAAATATTAGATAATGTCATTTGGAAGTTTTTTTATGGCCATGAGCTATAAAGCTTACGTGGAGTGGGTCTCCTGGTCATGATTAGGGTTGAGAGTGGGTCTAGTTTGGATTGGGTTTCACTCAACCCTGAATTTAATTAATAAGTTTAATCGAATATAATCCAGATATTGTCACACGCTAAAATCATATGCTTAACTCAATTTTTGTCCAACTTAAAGGTTTGGTTGTCTCAGTAATGATGATGTTATGTTAATAAAATTTCTAGGGATTTGATCTTCGGTTACTTGAGATATTTGCGTTATCTTTTGGGATTTGAGTCGGAGCCTATCTTTGGAGAAACTTGGTTTATTTTATATTAAATGAGATGTGCGCTAACCCACATATTAGGGGTCTGGCCCTCAATGTGAATTCTAAAATATTAGGCCCCTAGCACACAGTATGGTGAGTAAGAAAATTCTTAGATATTAACCCACTAGTAACTCTGGTTTCTTTTAAAAAAATAGGTAGGAGGTTAGGGAACAATAAGTAATTTCAGACTTGCTCATATGTTTACAATTACATAATGTCACCATTATGTCTTTAAATTTATATTAAATTCGTGACCGATAGGAATTGAATTTGGATTATTAGATGCTATGTCAAAGAATACTTTCGTCACACCATATCTTTAAAGTTATCGTGGAGATTGAGAATTATAATTTTATACTCTAAAAAGATATTGACACGAAAAATAACTATTTTATACCATGTGGATGGAGAAATTTGATTCACAGTTTATTTTAGACCGAAGAAGAAATATGGTCCAAATTGATAATCACTGAACATTTTCCCCTCAAATTTTCATGTCAATTTTTTTTTTTATGGGTTTTGTTACTTCCTCATGCCTTTCAAATAGTAACATGACACTTGACAAGCTATACTGCCCAAATCCACATGCTTAACAAAAAAGACAAATAATCTTCTCATTAAAGAAATATATAAGTGGAGTAAGGAAGCATGTGCCTTCGACGCCGAGGGAATCAAGACACATGAACCATGCAAAGTCCTCTTCCGAACTGACCTATATATTATAAAATGTCTCGGATATAAACTTAGTTTAGTTCATAAACTAGGACAAGCTTTGCTTTATAATATTAAGGACGCCCTTGATATTTATATATATATTTTTTTTTATAGCTTTGATAACGTGTGGCGTCATCATCAAACTGCCAAGGACTTTGTCTACATACGTGGCGAGGTAATGAATCATTTCTTCCATTGTAATCTTGGAATATATTGCTTTCTAAAGATATTGTTATTTAATTCCGTACGCGTTGATTGGGTGAAAGTTTGTGGAAGTATTCGATCAATCAACGTCTGAGATTAGCTTATTAATAGGGCTTAATTAGCGTACGACATGTATAAGATAATATTCCATTACTCCAAATTTTGAAGCTAGTGTTTATAATACTCGATAATTGTACGTAGAAGACGACAATAACAACGAGACTATATGCTTGTAATACTCGATAATATTCGGTAATATTCGGGAATGCTTGTAATTTTATTTATGGGAATAGATTTTTTGAATGAAATTTTCAAACCATAAAACTGTTAAAAGGATTTCGAGGAGGCGGATATATTTCCTACAATTTTACTAGTGAGAATAGATTCACAACCGCTAATTTTTTTTGGGCTTTAAAAAGAATTTAATAAAACTCACTGAGACTATATGCACACTTAGGTCAATACAAATGTATATTTACACAAATACAATTATAAGACCATCTCCAACAGCTTCCCCATTTTATTGGTATTCTCACTTTTGAAGAATTTTGGGTTTTTTTTGTCCAACAGATTCCCCATTACATTCCCTAAAATAGGGATGGAGGAGGGGGAAAATGGAGCATTCCCCAAATCTACAGCATTCTTCAAATTTTTGGGGAGAACTTTGTCATAAATGTTTCACGTTCTTCAAGTCTCAAATTACTCAAAAAAACGACTCAACACTATAAAATAAGGGGGCAAAAACAAAAAGTTCATGTCTAAATCTTTTATTGTTAAAGTTCATGTCAAATATGTAGAATATTTTTATTATTGTAATAAATACATGATTCTTCAAAATGGAGAAACTGTTGGAGTTGGAGCAAATTTTTTTTAAAGAATATGACTTTTGCTTCCCCATTTTGGAGAAATTTTTGAGGAAGCTGTTGGAGATACTCAGTCTATTTGTAATTGGTGAGTCTATTGGCAATTAACCCTATAATAACGACCAGGCTGTACTTTTTAAAAATTTAAAAACTCGGATAATCGCGCAACAAATGCACGAATATACGGATTAAATTTCTTGAAATTTAGTTCGATAAAAATTATTTATCAAGTAATCGTTACGGGCTTGATTCGGGTAAATGTCATCCGATATGGGCCAGCTACAGTCCAAGCCCCGTATCGACGGACCGAAGCACATGAACTCATGCTTTCCAAAATCTAATCGCCCACCGTTTCCTCGCCACTTGTCTCCTGCTCTTATTCTCCGTCTCCTAACGTCCTAATCTTTTATTTCGCTAGGCCTTCTCTTTGTATTCTCTACGTACGTACTCATTTTTGTATTTTTCTTCTATGAATTCAAACGCAATGCATTGAGTCAGGACTTGCTTTTTCCCTGATTTATGTACGTTGTTTTTAGTGAGAAAGAAAGGTTTGAAGTCGTGCGTACA